ATAAATGACGCTTTTTATGTCCATATTCATGTAACATTAATGTTACAAACATATTCTTGTAACAAATATAAAACCAAATTTTGTATTTAATAAGAAATATTTTTAATAAACAGCTCGTGTAAAAACCAAAAGCTCTCGTAAGAAGCAGTTTAGTGAAGCAGCTCGCTTGGCTCGCCATGTTTGTTTTAGGAGTGCTTTTTTCCGCTCTTTCGCTCATTTACTTTCACCGAAGCTCTGTGGGAATTCACTTTTTATAAATTTTAATTAATTATTTTTATAAGATAATTTACTTTATATGAAATTTAAAATCTGACAACGAATTCTAATTAAAAAAAAGTAAACGTTAAAGCTAAAATAAATAATGAATGCAAACCTAATTATTTAAAAATTCCTACGGTCAAATGTCGAGAAAGCCATTAACTGATTGACTGAAAATTTTTAAAAAACTCTTTGCTCAACACAGTTGTCCTCAATTGAATAAAAGAACAACACTTCCCTGAGCACACATCACGCCAGGTACAGATTCTTTTAACTTTGAATAATTTGTTTATTAGTTTTGAATTATCATGTTACTTTTGTTATTATTTCTGAGTAAACTTAAAATTGATGTAGCACAATTATGTGAACGTGAAGTGAAGCGAAGAAAACCGCATGTTCTCGACGAGACAATTTGATGCGGTTCCTCGTGTGTCATTAAAAGCTCTGTTGTTATATTTAAAATCTTTTAAGGTTCGCTTTCGGTTTTGATTCAATATAAAACCTTTTGAAAACTAAAATCTAGTTAAAACATTATTTAATGGTAAGTATAAGAAAAATAGGAAAAAAAAAAACGGTATTTAACCATTTTTTTTTTGCATTATTAGATTATTTTTTTAAAAGCTAGTTCACTTATATCGATTTTTTACACTTTTGTATTTGTAGAAAACTCATATTGCTTACTCTAAACGATGATTTTTTTTTTGCCATATAAATATATACAATCTGTAAGTTACTAACAAGACATATAGGTAAAAGGGGCGAAAAGAAGACAAAAATGTCTTATTGCTAAGCCTCTTAATAAATTCCGTAAACATAAAGTTTAACTTAAGAATAAGCAGTTCCGTTAATTATATAAAATAAATTTAAAAGTGGTAAATAAATAAATAAAACATCTATTTATAAGAAATAGCAAGAAGCGCATTTTGTCTTGAACATATTCTTCTAAAGGTGCGGAAATATTTAATTTTTATTTATTGAAAAATCATGAATTTAAATTTTTTTTTTTAATATTAAAGTTTAATATTAAAGTTTAATTTAAACTACAGAACACAAAAAAAAAAAGTCTAAGAATCAAAAAATAAAAAGAATAACAACACCTATCAAACAAGGACATAAATAAATTTAAAAAATTACTAGTGCATTTAACTCAATCTATTCTAAAATTAATATATATAAATGTAACTGATCAATCATAATGGTATATTGCAATTTCAGAAATAGTTTTGTAATGAATTTTTTAGTAATAACTGTCTAAATTTAGCCTTAAATTCATTAAACACTGTTCCACTGCTTTTTGTCCTCTAATTGAAATTGAAAACTCATTGAACTGACATTGAAAGTAACTATCGTATTTCATAACACTTATCAAGAAACAAATGGTGTTGATACCAAATAAGGTGTAGATTGAAGGCATGAATCCCTCAAAGTTACTTTGTCAATTACCAAAAACCTAAATTAGAAACTGATTAAAAATTTCGAAAAATCGAGTTATTGGAGAGCAAAAAATTGAAAGATATTTACAAAGTTTTATTTTTTTAGTTTTCACAAACTATTATACTGGTTATTTTATCTTTATTAGGCAAATGTACTATATTTTTTAGTATAATTTAAATTTTTATTTTTAGATTACACTTTAACTAAAACTTCAAGATTTTTTAAAAATTAAATCCCCATTTTTAATGACTTATTACCTAACATTTTAAAAAATAACCATCACACTTTAGAAATGATCGTTTAATCTGCACATCTGATTTTAAAAATCACATTCGTTTTTACGTAACATCGATAAGTATTTAAGCATAAATTTTTATTTATGCCTAATAATAACAATAATAATAATAATTCGACATTGTCGGTATCTACTAGAGGCTGCTTGTCAAGATTGAACAATCCTGGCTGTAGTTTCACTTGTGGGGGTCAACCAACTTTCTTGTAATGGTCATCACCAGCCCTGCTGACCCATAAGCAAAAGAAACATAAGTACTTTGTGTATTACCTTTGGAAGCCATGTAAAAAAGCAAGCATATTGAAATCAATTCAAACATCTCATTGAATTCAAAATAAATAATTTTTTCAAGAAGTTCGTTGACATTTCTATAGTCTTTTTTCTTCTGTACCGGATGTGCTAAAGACAAGAAGGAATATTTTTTTATATTGTGAAGCAACAGCATTTTGAGACTTCAGTAAACAGTCACCATTGTGCATATCGCTCAAGTCAAGTAGTAAGCATGCTCAAAAAGTAAACAAACCAGTCACAATTTTACAATAAAATAAATCATTACACAAGTCATAATTAGTTTTAAATTATTTATGTTTCCGGTACACATGTGTCTATCAGTCATCACCTAATCCATTAGCCTTCAAGAAAGAAGTTAAAGTAAGATCTAAATTTCTGGTTAAATCGTCAGGTAAAGGATTTTTAAATCTGTCCAACAACAACTGTGGAATAGTCTAATATCATCTATACACTTTTTTCCAAAATCATCTGTATTTTTTTTACTGTAACAATATCTATCCAATATCATCTGAAAATTCAACAACCCCTAATAACACCTTTAGAAAGATGTAATTACATCTGGTATTTTTTTCCAATTCGAATAACATCTGGAAGAATTTTCTCCAGATGTAGTTACATCTGAAAAAATTCCTATATGCAGCAACATCTTGTTAAATAAATGCATTATTAGTTAATGCTTTTAAAATCCACAGATGTTGTTGCACCGATGTTGCACTTAATAATTTAAAAGATGTAACTAAATCTGTTATATTCATTTAATTTCTGCACAGATGTTGTTAGACATCAATGAAATTTCAGATGTTGTTGGACAGATGCTATTATACTTCATTGTATTTACAGATGTTTTTGGACAGATCTTATAAGGCATGGTAAAAAGTGATATTGTTACCCTGATCTAATCATCTAGCTTACTTAAGTGCCGATAAAGTGGTGTGTGACTTCCCCAAGTTATTATCAAGTTGTAGTCGGTTTTTTATAAATATATTCGGTTAGTCGGGTATTTGATACATCTCAGTTTTTTAGTTTTGAGGACTTTTATAAAAAAAAAAGCCTCTCCCCCTCCTTTCATTTCTTAAATTGGCCCCTGGCCCACTCTGATTCGGAAAGTGAAGCTAAAAAGTTGTTATTGGTAAAAAAAAAATCTTTCATCATTTCTTCGCTGCTAATTCTTGAGATAAAATATTAGTTACATCTTCCCTCCTAAATAAAAGAAAAAAACAGTATATAGCAACTTCAACATAAACATGGTTATCTATTTTTATATATTGTCCATTTATTGCAAATATAAGTAAATACTTCATGTTTAACTAAACATGAAATAAACAAATCAAATTCTAGAACTTTTGGAGAGAATAGTAAGAAGTATTTTTGCATTTTGTGGTGATGATGATGATTGGATGATGATGGTTGGTGATGATGATGATATGAATGGATATTGAAAAGTCTCCGTTTAGCTTTTTTATCATTTGTAATATCAGTCATATTGAAGTAACAGTAACTGTGATGGTTCTTCAGTTCTACATGCATACCAAATTATATCAGGAAAGTTTCTAGGTACGTATTAGGTATTAATTCAGAGTAGCTTAAAATGTTTTCAAAACAAATTACTTTGATTGAGAGATCAAATTTTAAATGCGATAATTGGATAACAGGCACGCACAACGATTTGCGATTTTTGTAATGTTTTACGATACAAAAACGGAAAACCTTGTATTTATTTAGTATCTATTTCTGATGTATTTTTCCGTCTATAAAATATCTTGAAACTCGCTACATTTCTTTCCTCACCCAAGCCTAGGCTGCAAGAGAAGCTCATTAGCAACCTTTTATGAAATGTTTTATTCGGCACTGACAATGTACCAGTTGCCGATAGACGCTAAAACGCTTTAACGTAAAAACGGTTGACGATACAGAATTTTTTTTTACATTTTTGAAGTTATTAGAGTAAATTAATAAACAATAAAAAATTTACAATGCGCGAAAATTTTGTAAAAACTCGTAACATTGTGTGTAATAAACAAGACAAAATTTTATTTTTTAAACATGAAAATAAAAGTCACAATTGGTTATTTTCATTATATATTAAAATATTAGGACGAGGTAAACTATGCATGACCCTGCTGATGGTGAAAAGCAAGAACGTTATGGTGACAAAGAACAAAGCTTAGCAATGTTTGACGGTTGATAAAATAATATCGAAGCTTTTACTGAGAGAATATGACAAAAGTATATTTAAGTAATGAGATTAAGGTTATGAATTTTTATTTAAATAATGAGATTAAGGTTATGAATTTTTATTGTACTGAGTATGAGGTAAAAGTATTATAACTTTAAGGGAGGTAAGAATTTAAAAATATTTTTAATATAAAAATTTTCCTTTTATTTTAATATAAAAATAAAAGGAAAATGCAATGTTGATATAAAAAAAATATAGAACTAAAAAGAATTTTTAAAAATTTTTTAAAATTATGATTAAAATATTTATAAAACTTTCAAAATACATCTAATTATAGATACCGTTGGCAACCAATAATGTTATTTACCATATTATTAATTGTTGACGATTTTATCATCCCGGATTACAGCTAATATTGAAATATACGCATTCTATTCATAGCATTGATAAACTTTTTTTTAATAAAACGCATTTCCGTATCTGATAAAGAAATATTTAAATCTCCTTTTGATTGAAATATTTTCAAAGTTTTTAATATCATTAAGAATTTAAGTTCGCAACTTCTTACAAAAAGTTTTGAAGATAAAATTTACAGAACACATCGAATTACCGTGTGCTTGTAATAAATTGTGTAGTTAATATTATATATATATATATATATAGAAGAATTACATAAGAAGATAAATACATATAAAGAAGTTTAGCAAAAACATATTAAAGAAATTCAGATCCTCTAAAAACCTTTTATATTATATTTAAACACTGTTATTATTTTGTATCTAAAATGTCTTGGTTTAAAACACTTAAAAAATCAGAAAAGAAGACTTCTGGTGTTAAATATAATGAAAACGTATTTGTACCAAAATCTCAAAAAGTTCATAACAAAAAAGGAAAAATTCAATACATTGTTGAAGCGTTTGAAGAAAACGCAAAATCTTCGAAATCTTTTCCCGTTGATTGCTCCCCTCAATTTTTGACTTATTTAAAAGGTAAAATATTAATTACAAGTCAAACAGATACAATTAAAGTCTATGATCCCAGTGGTACCCATTTAGAATCAATACATGCTGAGCACAAAGACTCCATTCTATCGGGTTTGGCACTTAACTCTACGGAAAACAGTTTATTTTTATGCGATGCTCGAAGTCAATCCCAAGCTCGCGTTCAAATATTTAACATCAAAGAAGATATTCAACCAGTTGCACATATTGGTATATTATATTTTTTGCTTTTTATTTCTTTATTTCTGTGTTTTATTATTATTATTATTTTCTGTATTTTGTTTTTTTAATTCCTTTTTTTCTTTGTTTTACTTCTTTATTTCTATGTTTTATTATTTTTTTTTTCTGTGTTTTATTTCTGTGTTTTATTTCTTATATATAATCTTTTTTCTTTTACTCAAACAACATCAAACATTTGTTTAAAATATAATCATCTCACTTATTTGTATTTTGTTATCAACATAATAATGCTAAGATTTAATATATTTGTTACACAGCACATTACCTTTGAAATTACTTCCAAAATCCACAACCATTGTTTTTGAAACTACTTTCAAAAACTAAACCATGACAACTTTTGAAACCATGACAACTTTTGAAACCATGACAACTTTTGAAACCGTGACAACTTTTGAAACCATGACAACTTTTGAAACCATGACACTTTTGAAATCGATTTAACCTGATTTTGTTTTGAAGTGGCAAAAATTTTGAGTTTGTAGATAAATTCAATCATTATAATAGAGAACGAGTCGAAAAGTCGAGAAAAACGAGTTAAAAAAAAATACGAGTCGAGTGAACTTTTGAGACTCAGAAATTTGTTGTGGCATTTTAAGTCATAATAGTGGTTTGCTTTTCCCTAAAATATCTCATTCGGATTCTGGTAATAAAAACTTAATCTCAAAAACGAACTCAATTATAAAAAAATTGGCTAAAAAAAAGAAGACTTAACTTTGTTTAAGAAAATGAAAATATGATGTGGCGACAACATTTTCATATTATTACGCAAAATTTTATAGTCCATTATTTTTTTGTTAATCTGTAATCATTTTCAAAAAATTGCTTTTGTAGTAGGAACGCTAAAAAAACAGAATTCGATGCTCCGGTATTAAATAAATGATAGTTACAAAACATGGTTTATAAGTTTTTGACTGCTGATTAAACTATTTAAGAAATGGTGTTGCGACTTTTTGACCTTCTGAAAACGAAAAACTTTGTGTATAATTGCAACTGGATGCCATCAGTTATTTGCGCCAAATATTTTCAAGCAAAATGTTTGAAAATAGAGAGCAGATCTAAATATCTTCTTTAATAAAAAAATATTACCCAATCAATAATATAGAGCACTAGCATGTAGAACGCATCCTAGTCTTATAATATCGCAATCATCTAAAATATTATAAGTGCTTTAATTCTATTGAGTTGAGATAAAAAAACCACGTAGAATTTCAATCTATCAAAATCGATGCAAAATTTTAATTAAAGATGCATAAAATTTTAAAATCAACTCGATACATGAACTTTTATAGAATCTACTGCTTATTACTAAGACTATTTGCTATTCAATTTAGGCTTTTGCTATTCATTTGCTATTCAATTTAGGCTTATAAATTGACTTATAAAATCGCATTTCTTTAGGAAACTATGGAAATATATGTATGATCTTTTGTTTAAGTACTTTAGAGTTAATTTTATCTAGAGTACATTTTACTACCTTAAACATTTTTACTTTTACCTTTTTCTATTGTAAGCGTCGGTATATTTATACCTTTTTTTATATGTATATATATATATATATATATATATATATATATATATATATATATATATATATATATATATATATACATATATATATATATATATATATATATATATATATATATATATATATATATATATATATATATATATATATATATATATATATATATATATATATATATATATATATATATATATATATATATATATATATATATTTATAACAGAGCACCGCGGATTAAGCATTTAATTGGAAGTTCACGCCTCCTTCCTAACCGATGTCGCAAAACTTTCTCAAAGGTGGGGTTTGAACCACGAATCCTTTGCTTCTGAGACAAGTGCGCAACCACTGCGCCACGGGTGCTTCTTTTAAACGTCTTTAAAACGGCTGAATGTCTTTTAAACGTCTTTTAAACGTCTTTTAAATATTCTAACGCAAATTACGTTTAGAAAACGTTTAAACGTCTTAAAGATAATTAGAACTTAAATTTTAAAAATAAATATTGATTATTAAAATCGTCTTTAGTCAAGTTGACTTCATAAAAAATTTTCGAGAACCAGTTAGAAATAAATTTCCGATCAAAACCAGATAAAAAAATAAGGAGGGTCAGTGGTTTTGTGACGGCTCATACAAAACTTGCTACTAAAGTGTTACGATTTTGTGACAAGGGGAGGTCAAAAATGGTCAAAAATTGCGTGACGTAATTTATGGACGACCCCTAAGAATAGTTGGGGAAGGTTGCGTATGTTAAGCATGTTAACAGTGTATTGTTTGCAGCCGATATATTATAATATTTATATTTACTTTTGCAAATTATCATAATTTAATATTTTTTTTTCTTAAAGATTATGAATGAATAACTCATTTAAAAAAAAACCTTTATACCAAAAATTACGTTATTAACACACCCAATCATCTCATCTTAGGAAACCAAGAGCAAAAGTTTTTTTTTGAAAAAACTTTTGCTCTTGAAATATCAAAATAAAGCTCCGTGGAGAATAACTTAAGAAAAACGCGTTTTTCCTACATCTCATCATGAGCGTCTAAAAACGTATTATCTTAAGCATCTTCACCAAGTATTACCATAGTTTAAATAGCATGACAACAACTTATGTATTATCTCATGTAACCCATGGAATTAGCAGTAGATAAGCATAAAATATTAAAGATGTAATAAATTTTTGATTAAAAAAAATAAGTGTTTCGTTCTGACGTAATTACAAAATATTGAATAATAAAATATTATAACGGGGATGGTTAATTTTTTTAACAGTAAAACAATTAAAGAATATTAACTATACAACAATAAAAGAATATTAACTATACAGCCAGTTTCCCTATTTGAGTATATTAGCTTCAAAAATGACGCAACAGCTAAAGCTAGATAAGTAACTTTGTTTTAAAACGTCTGTGAAAAATAGGGAAAAGGCGTCTATGATGGCATATTTAACTTTGAAGCTTCATTATTCAGTATCCTGAAGACCAAGAACTAAAGTTTTGATATGGATACATTCTTTGTTACATGTAGAACAATAATAACCTTAGGAGTTTTCATCAGTCTTCTTTTTTTATTAGTTATTTTTATTTAATAAAAAAAAGCACAAGTATGCCATTATAGGCAATTACTGCTCCTATGATGGCATAGGGGAGGATGGGGTTGGTTAGTATCAAGGGTAACTTGACAATTTCATTTGACCTAAAATTCTTCCCTCAGAAATGCCAGAAATTACGCGTAATCATCCTAATTAACCCATTCGTGCTACACAGCAGCAGTGTCAAACTTTGCGCATGCGCATAAAAGGTATTGCGTTTTATGTGTTTTTTGAACCATAAATTTTTTAGCGAAGTAAAAATTCCTTTTTATTTTAATAACAAGTATGTTGTTTTTATGATAAAAAAGGTTTTCTCCACTCGTCAATATTGCAACACACCTAACTCGTTAGTATTCCATCATGGGAAGAAGTCATCATTTTCATTAAAACAAGCTGTGTCTGCCTTGTTCAAAAGATAAAATTAAAATAAGTATTCCACTAAATTCACAAAACTTGGAAATAAAATGCATACAAATTTTATTTCTGCACAACTAATATTAAAATCACTATATCAAATATTTAAAGGCATTAAAAATGCAACAACACATCCCAAAATCGATTTTTCTTGATTATAAAAGCAATATTTGTGCATAAGGGAAGTATTTTTACTAAAACTAATATAAAGTCAGTATAGACATGTTGGTCTAATTACTTTTTTGCCATGACCATTATTTATGAAAATATGACCGGTATGCCATCATAGGCGCCTTTCCCCTATCTTTCTTTGAATGAAAGTATCAAAACTTATATATAAAAAATTACACTTAAGAAAATTTAAACAAAATATTCATTTTGCCTTTAACTGTTTTTATGAATATGTAAATGCTAGTTTAAATCTTAGTTTTTCATCTGGTAAGCTTTTTACACTTGTTTGATAATTGGTAGGACACTTATGCGCATAGTTTTTTAAAATATTATTGTGTCTGTCAGATTTTTTACTGATCATGGTATAATTGTATCAAACAGTCTGGTCACTAAATGATAGAGGTTTTTAAATGAGTTATTTCTGAACGAGAAATAATTAAAAATATTAATTTTTTAGGTGAAATGAACTTCATATTATAATAATATGACCTGTTTTTAAAGGTCAATGGCAGTTTTTTAGATTTTTTGTTCCTTTCGGATTGGTATCTTTAAGTTTTGCATGAAATTTTATAAAAATGTTGTATTTTGAAAAATATATTTAGTTGATATGTAACTGTATAGGCCAGAACTAGTATTTAAAATTGAATACGACACTTTACAAAAAAATTTAACTAGTTTCTAGTCGGCGCTATTGAGCGATTTCAATCTAAAGATTCCAAAATAGTGTTTTTAAAATCATGTGTTAGTGTTAGTAAAAAATTTTCAACAATTACTAAAATTAAAGAAAAGTTTCTTTAATCATTTGAAAAACCTGACGCAAAAAAAGTTATGAAGCCTAACGCTTTTGTTTTGACACAATACGCTAATCAAATTAAGTAAATTCTAAGTTTAAGAATTCAAATAATTTATAAATCATCTTAAGTATACCAAGTTGTTTGTAATTTTATTCCAGGTTTACTCATGTCTTTTGTTTTATTTGTGATATTTATTAAAAGGTTTACTTATATCTTTTGTTTGCTCAGTGAAATTTTATATATATATATTTAAATATTTATATTTGTATAACATTCATATAAATACATATATATATATATATATATATATATATATATATATATATATATATATATATATATATATATATATATATATATATATATATTCATAACATATACATATAAATACATATATATACATATATATATATATATACATATATATATATATATATATATATAAATATATATATATATATATATATATATATATATATATATATATATATATACATATATATATATATATATATATATATATATATATATTATATATATATATATATATATATATATATATATATATATATAACTATATATATATATATATATATATATATATATATATATATATATATATATATATATATATATATATATATATATATATATATATATATATAACTATTAATATAATTTAACCAATAAAATGAAAAGTGTATGTCAAGCAAAATAACAACTTCAGAAAAAGTTTTTTATATTTCTAAAAAGATATTTAACAAAATACTACAAAATATATTTAACACTAGAGGCTTTTCAATGTTTCATCAGTAGTGCTAGTTTAAGTGCTGTTATGCAAAAAAAACTTTTTTGCATATTTTATATATATATATATATATATATATATATATATATATATATATATATATATATATATATATATATATATATATATATATATATATATATATATATATTATATATATATATATATATATATATATATATATATATATATATATATATATATATATATATATATATATATATATATATATATATATATATATATATATATATATATATATATATATATATATATATATATATATATATTTCTGACTATATTCTAGGAATTAAACTTAGATATGTAATTGTAATTGTATTTTTTTAATCTGTATCTAATCTTTTGTAATTTTAATCTTCTTTGACCCACTTTGTTAAATCCTCTTTTTAATTTAAAGGTTTCTTTTGTAGTTTGTAAATTGTATAAATAATGAATTGACCTCCACTGGTCATTTAATAAGATTTATTGGTATTTAAATGATTACCATTGATTTTAAACCTTTGAAAAACCTAATTTTTTAATTAAATTTAGGACAAGGTCTTTTTCAAGCCCCACACGGAATTTGCGTTACAAAAAGTAATAAGACACTTGTAACAGATGTCGAACGTAGAGAGATCTTCATTATCGAGGATGATGGTTACCATGCAAGCGTATTTGGTGGAATCGGCCAACGTCCTGGTCAGTTTATGTTTCCGCACGATGTTGTTTTTGATGAGGTTCATAAGAGAATTATAGTTTCAGACACTTTAAATCACAGACTGCAAGTATTTAGTGAAAGCGGTAGGTTTATGGATATTGTTGAATATGACAAAAATGGAAAGCGCCTTTTTTCGTGCCCTACAAGCCTCAAATTTGATAACGATAATCATTTAGTTGTTTGTGACAACGGTGCTAATTCTTTGAAAATTTTAAATCAAGATATGCAACTAATTAAACAAATACCTCTTGGTAATACACAAAAGCCATCAGCGGTTACAATACTTCCGTTAGGAAAACTTTGTGTTGCTTGTGCTGTCCAATCCACGTTACTGATAATCTAAACTAAAAATTTTTTAAAAGAATTTTCTCTTTGCATATTAACATATTAATTTATAAAAACTAAAAACACTACTTCTAACTTAGAATGTGATGTTATTAAGTTATAAATGGAACTAGTTAGGATGTTGTATGAGAAAGTAATAATTTATTATCGTGTGTTTAACCATTATAAGTAAGATTAAGAAATTTTATTTGGTTTTATAAATTTAAAACTTATGTTTATTAACTGTTTTTAGCACCTTGACTATTTTTACGCAAAAAACCTCAAAAGGCACCTTCCCTACCTTTACTATTTTCACCTTTCACACCTTTATTAAATACCTTCACTATTTTCATGAACCACATCAAGCACATTTATCTCACAAAGTGCGATGTTTGATATGCAATATAATTGCAATATGGCATGTCATTATGCATTTTTATTTTTTGTTTATTTTTGTTTTTATGTAATTGAATTTTATTTTAAAATAACAACCTTAAATTGGATTTATTAAAATGGATAAATAGTAATACTTGTTTCCATTTATTTATAAGCTTTTGAAGAGTAGGTTCATTTTTAATAGTGTTTAAAATCAATTTGCAAAAATAAATAGACCACGATATTTAAATAAGTAGAAGCTAGATTTAAACTTTTACAAGTTGTTATTTGAAAACTTTGAAACAAGTTATTTTCTGTAAACTTTAAAACAAGTTGTAAACTGAGGTTATCTGATAAACAAGTCGCTTTATAGCTTTCGCCATTTCTAAATTTTTTCGAGTTTTATATTTATGTAGTTTTTACCTTAAAAATGAAAAGTGAAAACCTGGACTTTAGCATCGTGGCTACATAATATATATTTATAACCTATAATATAATAACCTATAATACATTTTTGATGAAAAATAAGCTTGTTTGTTGCCCAAAACTGTTCCCCAAAATTGCCCAATATTGTGGTGCAACTCTTTTTGCACCACAATGTTCCTACACTTTTAGAAATCTATACATAAGTGATTACTGCAAATAAAATTAGACAAAGCTTCACATATGGGTCTAAAATAATTTTATTCTATCGCTTGAAAAACACGTTTATAAGCAGAGATACCAAAATATGGAAAAAACTTTACACCACTTATATACGCCCACATCTCGAGTTTGCAGTTACTGCCTGGTGCCCGCATCTTGAAAAAGACATAAATGTCATAGAACGTGTTCAGCACCGGGTTACCAAAGTACCGCACGAAATAAAGCGCTTCGATTACGAGACAAGATGCATCAAACTCGGTCTCACCTCTCTATTAAATAGACGTTTACGCGGCGACCTCATTCAAAAATATAAATTCGAAAACAGTATCGACTCAATTAGCTGGCATATCCACCTAACATCCCACCTAGCTACGGTCATCGCAAGCGTTTTCATCGTGAAATGGACAACAACTGCCTCGTTCGCTATAACTCCTTCAACAACCGCGTGGCTCACCACACAAGCAAAATTCGATCAGCTTTAATAATTACTACAGCGCATCATCTTCCGTGCAATTTCACACGAGCTAGCACGGCTAGCTGTTGATGGGCTTACGAAACAAGCGCCCCCTCCGTGTAATTTAACTTTAACTTTAACTTTAACTTGTTGCGGCTTTCGTGTGGAGAACTGCTTTAAGTTAGGGGCGGTCAGACTTAGAGCAGTTCTCCACACTTTTTAATATAAACATAAAAAATATTTATTGGGTTTAATACATACATCGAATATCTTATAGCCTACTGCTAAGGGAGTGCTGCTACGTCTATTATCTTAAAGCCTGCTGCTACAAGGGAGTGTTGCTACATCGACTATCTTATAGCCTACTTCTACAAGGAATTGCTGCTACATTGAGGATTTGGCATAGAGCAGCAATCTTTTTTCTTTTATAATTTCAATTAAAATTTCTAATGTTTAAAACTCTCCACTAACTAGAGCGCAACAAGCGAAAAAGTAAAATTATTTTAGAGCGCTAAACTGTAGCTTTACCTAAAATTACATTCTATTTGTTAAGAGCTTTGTATTTTTACCTAGGTTTACCCATAGTTCTTCAATGCCCAGTAGGACAATGATTTTTTCATTTAACTAACACAGTTTGTGTCACATGTCTTAAATAAATAAAGTAAAAAAAAAATTCCGGCATTGGGGCCGGAAATATTTTAATTACAGCCGGAACCTGAATAACCTAAAAGTTAAAAAACCCGGCTGGAACTCCGGTACATCCCTATTTGAAACCAAATTTTGTATTTAATAAGCAACTTTTTTAATGAATGCTCGTGTAAAAAACAAAAGCTCTTGTAAGAAACTGTTTAGACAAGCAGCTTGCATAGTTCGCCATGTTCGTTACCATGTTCGCCATGTTTGTTTTAGGTTTTCTCCGCTCTTGCACTCATTTACTCCCGCCGACGGCAACCTCCCGCCGAGGCCTGCTCTGTAGCAACCTCCCGCCGAGGCCTGCTCTGTGGCAACCTCCCGTCGAGGCCTGCTCTGTGGCTACCTCCCGCCGAGGCCTGTGATATAATTTTCTGTGATATAATTTTATAAATACTAAACTTCCCACATTTCAAACTCACTTAACTTTGATTTGGTAATAATAAATAAAGCTAATGAAGTCTTTGGTTAAATAAAAAATCACTTAAATATATGATTTGGTCTTTCAAACTAGCATAACAAAACAATGAATTTCTGCAATTATTTTTAGAAGAAACTGAAGATTAGAAAGAAGAAATTAAAATACAGGTGCTTGAAAAACACTTCAAAACTGTATTAATCAAACCTTGTGTTAAACTCAGTGATCAGATGGTCTAGCAAAGAAAAAGTAATATCCCAATTAAAATAACTTGAAATGCAATTTTTAGGCTTGTTTAAAGCATATTTGGAGGTGTTGATTAATAGTATTTCTAAGTATAGAGACAAAATCTTTTAATGCTTGAATAAGATTTAAACTATAAAAAATATTATTAATACTTGCTTGCACAATCGTGTAATTAAAAAAATTATATTAAAAACATGTCTTGTTATACACAGTGCAACAATAAAATCAAAATTAACTTCAGCAGAAGAAGCAGTAGCACCATTAATGACATTCTTTGAGATAGAAATAAAAATTTTTTTTATTTCTGTCTCAAGGAATAAAACCTTTTGTAAAGTATCCATGCCACAATTTTACATTTCATAACACGAAAGAAAAATCAGTAATAGCTTTTATTTAAATACTAAACAAGTTTTTCCTTTATCAAAAAAGAAAAACTTGTTTATTTAGTATTCATGCTGTAGAAACTAAAAAAAAGTTTTTCAGAAAAATTTTTTTTTTAGTTTCTTAACTTTAATTAATTATTTCTTATTTAATGGAAATTAATTAATCATTTTATAAGAGTAGTCGACAATAATCTGTAATTTAAACAAATAATAAAGTAAATAAAAAATAGTAGTACCGTCAACCGGGGCTTTGTTTACCGTCAACCGGGGCTACTTTACTCCATCGGGGGTTACTTTGCACCACTTTTGAAAAGTTTTGTAGTTACCCAGCTCTAATAGCAAAATTAATTTTTTTAAAACTGTTAGGTTTTTTCTTGTTAGTTGGGCCATTATCTTTTTCAGAATAAATTTTGAATGATGCTGCTATTTTATATGTTATTTTTTTAATATTTGTGGAAGCCATTTTTTATACCGAACTTTTGCTCCATTAAAATTGGCGTGTTTCTACACAAGAACTATATCATTTTTAAAAAGTTTAGTATTTTTTTATGAAAAGAAACCATGTAATAATAATAATAATAATAATAATAATAATAATAATAAGAATGAGCGTAAATATTTTCAGGATTGTTAAGCGCTAAGTTTAAGGATTGTTTTGCGATAAATGAGGACTGAATTGCGACCGGGACATTTTTTACGAATTGAAATGGGGACTTTATTGCGACCGGGACTGTTAGTCGATTTTTTTCCGGGACTGTTTTAAGACAATAAGGATTCTTTCACGACTGTAGGGACTGTTTGTTAATTGACATAAGGATTGTATTGCACTTGAAAAATATAAAATTTAAAACTAATGCGCATGTGCCAAATTTGGAATTAGAAAAGGGCTGCTTGTAAACTTAGAAACTTTATAAACTAGAAAAAAACTGTGAATGATCTTTTTTAATTTTACTTTCTAGATTTTGTTCATCTTTTGGAAAATATTGATTTAAAAAATGGTTTAATATCTGGTAAAAACTTTTATTTTTATTTTAGTGAATTTAAATTAATGCTGAATTAAATTGATAGTTAAATAATATATTTATTTATTGGTTATTTAAGTATAACTTAATACGTTCAATAAATGCTATTTAATAGTCTGTTATTATATAGTATTATATAATAGTCTATGAGGAAAAATAGCATACTATAAGGCAAATATATTAATTATACTTAAATTAATAGGTAAAATAACATATGTCCATTATTTTCTAAGTGTAAGCTTTTTTTACAAACTAACTTGTTAATTTGCCTTTCATAACTAATGTTAGACAAAATAATAACAAGTTAGTTTGTAACAAATTTGTTAGTATAAAACTATTTATTGGAGATATCCCTGATTGTGTGTCATCTGTTAAGATGAACATAGCTCAGTTGGACATATTTGTTTGGTTGGACATTTTTATTAATAATATAAATATGATATAAGTTATAAATATAAATTATATTTATAATTTATATTATATTTTTATTTGCATTTATAGTTTATATTATAAATTATATTTATATTATAATTAGGTGTATCTCCAATAAATATTTTTCTATTTATTTTGAATTGTTTTATAAACTTACATCCCCATCAAAATTGGTCACCTTGATCACTCGAGGAGCGGAAGAAGGATTGGTTATATTAGCTATTGTAAATAAAACTTTAGTATAAATTAAAGGCAATCTATCCAGCTCTTATCAAGTATAAAAAAGAAATATAATAATAATAATCACATTAGCACCTAGCCTTAATGTTATGTCAGTTTTAAGGTCAAGAGTTTTAAAGCTAAGCCAAACATTTTCAGCTCCGCTGTTTCAAGGTGGATTCATTTTCAATAAGGCTTCTTGTTAATTTTTTAAATTACTAGCTTAAGGGGTGTTACTCAAAATTTTATAACTTTTGAAATATTATAGATAGTTTCGTTTTGTAAAAAGAATATAAAACCATTAAAATGTTTTATTTTTTAACATTTAATAATATATCAAAACTTTCTTTGATTTTTGAATAGATCTGCAGAAATGAAGAACTTAGTTGATTTTAAGAAATGTTACTTTTCAGCAAAATAATCAAAAAAATAATATATTTTTGTTGTTTCATTTGTAATATTATCATTCTTAGAACATTTTCAAAGCAAAAAAATTTTACTTAAATTGTATGTGAACCGATACAAATATTATTAAAGTCAGACAACAAAATTTCAAAAAATTACAGACAACGCTTTTCAAAAGAATAAAATACAAAATTTGTATTTTGTATGTTATTTATAGTTTTATTTTGTTTTATTTACAAAAATAAAACAAGAGTGTGATTTGGTAACGCATTTAAAGTTATTTGATGTAGCATACGTCATTGCTTCAAAGTGAAAACAAAAATTTACGCATAAAACAAATTTAGTGCTAAACATGCCAATTTTAAAATATATTTGATAACATAGCCGAAGGTAAAAAAAAAAATTTTTTTGATTTCATACACATAAAAGGTTGAATTATATATATATATATATATATATATATATATATATATATATATATATATATATATATATATATATATATATATATATATATATATATATATTTATATATTTATATATATATATTTATATATATATATATATTTATATATATATAATATATATATAAATATATATATATATATATATTTAAGATTATTTTGCACTCTTTTGCGATAAATAAATACTGAATTACCCTTGGAAATATTTTAAATGTTTAAAATTGGGTTTTTTGTTTCTGATTCTGACTGTAAGTCAATTTTTTTTCGGGACCTTTTTGAACAAAATAAAGATTCTTTTACAATTATAGGGACTGTTTGTTAATTGATATTAGGAATTTATTGCATTATATAAGTATAAAATTTAAATTTAATGCCTAAGCGCCATGTTTTGATGTAATAAAGGGCTGCCTAAAACTTTTAAACTTTATGATCAAGGAAAGAACTGTAAATAATTTTTTTTGTTTTTATTTTCTAGAATTTGTTCTTCTTATAGCAAATATTGATTTTCAAAAATTGTCCGTTATCTGCTAAAACCTTTTACTTTATTTTTTTTATTAGGTTGAACTTTTTATTTAGTGTTGTATTAAATTCATAGTTGAATATTTTTATTTATTTTTGGTATATATATAAATTTTATATATAAAGTTAAATAATAAATTTATTTTATATATATATATATATATATATATATATATATATATATATATATATATATTCAAGATTATTTTGCAGTAGGTGTAAGGATTCTTTTGTGATAAATAAATTCTGAATTGCCCTTGGGGATATTTTAAATATTTTAAATTGGGTTTTTATTCTGATTAGGACTGTGAGTCAATTTTTTTTCGGGACCTTTTTTAAGACAATGAAGATTCTTTTACAATTATAGGGACTGTTTGTTGATTGATATGAGGAATGTATTGCATTATATAAAAATAAAATTCAAATTTAATGCCTAAGTGCCATGTTTAGATTTAGAAAAAGGCTGCTTAAATCTTTTAAGCTTTTTTTTTGAAAAAGGAACTGTAAATAATTTTTTTTTGTTTTTGATTTTTAGAATTTGTTAATCTTTTGAAAGTTATTGATGTATAAAAATGGTTCGATATCAGCTAAAATCATTTACTTTTATTTTTATTGGCTTGAACTTTTGATTAAGTGCTGTATTATATTTATAGTTAAATATTAAATTTATTTTTTAGTTTTATAAGTATAACTTATTACTATCAATTAATACTATAAATTAGTCTATTATTGTTTAATAGTCTATGAAGCAATATAATAGCTTACTATTAGGCAATTATATTGATTATATTCAAAATATAAAGTAATATAACCGATTTCTATTTTTTACATAAATAAGCTTTTTTTTTAATAATTTTTTTGTATAAAATGAAACCAACCCTCTGCATTAAAAAATATGAGGTCTGCATTAGCCAACCACATACCTTTTATAGGTTAGCTATGCCCTAATGCTGAACCAAGTCTGTTTGCTAGATGCAACTGATTATGGTATAGTAAATGATTGTTTTCAGTGTATATATCCTAAGTTATTGTTTCAGTAGTATTTATGCTTGTAAATTATATACATGGATTGTTTTGCTTTAAGTCTAAAGATTATTTTACAATAAATGAGAACTGAATTCCCATAGGACATTTTTAAACGTTTGAAATTAGGTTTTCCTTCTAATTGGGACTGTAAGTCAGTTTCTTTCTGAGACTTATTTAGGACAATATTTATTCTTTTACATTTATAGGGACTGTTTGTTGATTGATTTGAGAAATGTATTGTATTATATAAGTATAAAACTTAAGGCTATTGCCCAAGCACCTTGTTTTAGTTTAGAAAAGGGCTGCATAAAACTTTTAAACTTTATGATCGAGAAAAGAACTGTAAATAATTTTTTTTGTTTTTATATTCTAAAATTTGTTCATCTTATAGAAATTATTGATTTTAAAAAATGGTCCGATATCTGCTAAAAACATTTACTTTATTTTTTATTGGGTTGAACTTTTTATTCAGTGCTGTATTAAATTCATAGTTGAATATTTTTATTTATTTATGGTATATATATAAATTTAATATATAAATTTAGATAATAAATTTATTTTATATATATATATATATATATATATATATATATATATATATATATATATATATATATATATATATTTATATATATATTTTTTTAAGATTATTTTGCGCTAAGTGTAAGGATTCTTTTACGATAAATAAATACTGAATTGCCCTTAGAATTATTATAAATGTGGGTTTTTCTTTTGATTGGGACTGTGAGTTAATTTTTTTTCTGGACCTTTTTTTAAGACAATGAAGATTCTTTTACAATTATAGGGACTGTTTGTTGATTGATATGAGGAATGTATTGCATTATTTAAGTATGTCTAAGTGCCATGTTTAGATTTAGAAAAGGGCTGCTTAAATCTTTTGAACTTTATGATTGAGAAAGGACCTGTTAATAGTTTTTTTTCTTTTTAATTTTTAGAATTTGTTAATCTTTTATAAGTTATTGATGTAAGAAAATGGTTCGATATCAGCTAAAATGGTTACTTTTATTTTTATTGGCTTGACTTTTTATTAGGTGCTGTATTATATTTATAGTTAAATATTAAATTTATTTTTTAGTTTTATAACATATTACTATTGGTTAATACTATGAATTAGTCTATTATTGTTTAATGTTCTATGAAGCAAAACAGCTTACTATTAGGCAATTATATTAATTATATTCAAAATATGAGGTAATATAACCGATTTCTATTTTTTACATAAATTAGCTTTTTTTTTAATAATTTTTTTGTATAAAATGAAACCAACCCTCTGCATTAGGAAATATGAGGTCTGCATTACTTTGCCTACCACATACATTTTTAGGTTAGCTATGCCCTAATGCTGAACCAAGTCTGTTGGCTAGATGCAACTGATTATGTTATAGTAAATGATTGTTTTCAGTGTATATATCCTGAGTTATTGTTTCAGTAGTATTTATGCTTATAATTATACATATGGATTGTTTTGCAATAAATAAGAACTGAATTGCCCTTAAGACATTTTTGAATGTTTGAAATTAGGTTTTTGTTCTAATTGGGACTGTGAGTCAGTTTTTTTCTGAGACTGATTTAGGACAATAAATATTCTATTACATTTATAGGGACTCTTTGTTGATTGATATGATGAATGTATTGTATTATATAAGTATAAAATTTAAGGCTAATGCCCAAGCGCCATGTTTTAGTTTAGAAAAGGGCTGCTTAACACTTTTAAATTTTATACTTGAGGAAAGAACTGTAAATAATTTTTTTTGTTTTCAGTTTCTGGAATTTGTTTATATTATAGAAGTTATTGATTTTAAAAAATGGTTTGATATCTGCTAAAAACTTTTACTTTATTTTTTTATTGGGTTGAACTTTTTATTTAGTGCTGTATTAAATTTATAGTTGAATGTTTTTATT